TTAGGTTAATGAGTAGATATTAGGTGATAATAATCCACATGTAATTTTCTGAATTTGATTTCCTAAATGGTGAAGGATTAAAACGTCCTGCCTCCCGCTACAATTTTCAACTGTATCCGAACAAACAAACAAAAAAGTATCGATCTTAGATTCTAGTATCGACATTAGACAGGTTTATAAAGCCACTACAATATTTATTTCAAATAAACACGACCCGAAGTGGAAGCACCTCTTAGGGTCCCAGCTATGAGCAACTTGTGAACCCTTATATCGAAACAAAACACTATAAAAGTACAGGGTGAGGTAGCGAGGAAGGACGTTTTCGAAAATTATAGCCATTTCAAAAACGTCCGTCATCTCTGCCTCACCCAGTATAAAAATACGTTTTTATAGTAACAATACCAGCAATGCATTTCTGTATTAGAAATTGCCAATACCTATTGATAGTAAAATAATCAACAATACAACTTTATATTTAGATATCGGTATTAAATAACTCATAGAGGTGTCGATATGTCGTTAAACAAAATTAATCAAACCAAATAAGCATAACTAAATAAACAAGAAACTACAATCAATATTTGATGGTTCGTCCAATCTTACATAATTAAATTAAGAAATCTTCCAGCAACGTAAAGAATCCGTTAATAAAATGATTACATCAAATAATGCTGAAATCGAATCCAACACAAGTGTGTGTGTGACTTTTTTTCTTTTTTTGTATCCGTATTTCACGCTATTCTATAAAGTACAAAACCAAAGCCTATAATTATTATGAATTTCCATATATGACGGATGGTTTGTAACAAAAAAAAATGGTTGTAAGCGATTCGTCAGAGTTAACATGATCTGATTTTGAATATAATTAGTGGACGCCGGTAAAAAATAGATGAAGATAATTGTCTCTCTTCTTCTTTTATTCAACCATTATTGGTGAAGAAATTTACACACACACACACACACACACACACACACACACACACACACACACACACGTGTCCTGGATATGAAGATAAACCATATCTGGCAGCAAGACCACTGATCGGGAGATTAGAGATTTTAAGGAGCGTTGCTGTTGTTCCTAGGTCCACTCTGACTCGGAGTGGTAGCACCTGTCAGGGTTCCAAATATGGGCAAATACGGAACCCCCAAGCAAAAATAAAATATTATGAACGCATAAAAACACATTTTTATGTTAAAAAAAATTGCCAATAATGCATATAGTAAAATTACTAACAATACCTATTTATAGTAAAATTACTAACAATACAATTTTAAAGCAAAATGACCAACAATACATTTATTGTTATCAACAATACTTTTCATCCTGTAGTTGAAACCATAAAATTGCGTTCAAACTATTTAGATTTGGATATGTCCCGTAAAGGGATATATTTGATGGAAGTAGCTAAGTGGGTTTAGCTACTGTAGTACACGATAGCAGTAATCGACTGGTAATCGTCGTAGTCGCGGGTAATAGGTGTAGACCAATAGGATAGCCAATGGCGTAGTCCAATGGGCGTCGTCATAGACTTAAACTATACCTATAAGTCCGTCTGTATTTATGACGGACACCAGCCAATCATATTCCAGTGAGGGGGAAAACAGGTGTATACATATTCCATTATATCAGATTTCGAAATTAAATAACCCATAGAGGTTGATATGCCGCTAAACAATATCAAACACAACAACATGAAAGAACAATTTCATGCTATTTATCCCTACGATATCCTACAATTTCTTAAATAAATCAAACTGTATTATAAAATATAATTTAAAAAAAAAAACTACAATCTTAAACTCCCATATCACCGCCTCTAGTAATTATGTCCACACATATATCTGCACAAAACCTGAGTATCATCTACCATGTACTCAACTGTGAAAGCAGAATAACATATATGTTTATTACTTCAAAGCCCAAGAAAATAAAATTTCAGCATTAAATGACCCATAAGCCGTTACGCAAACTAATCAAATCAACACACACACACGCACACATGCTAACACACATACATGCACACACAGACACACCCGTACATGTCTGCAGCCGATACAAGTGGAGAATAAAATCATTTTTGATGTATTCATTTTAGAATTTAAATAAAGAAACAGTAATGTCTACAAAATATAAGTAATTATAAAAAAAATGATTGATACGTTTCGTACGGCTTATCAAGTTATTTAAAGCCAGAAAATATATTTAGACTGTAAATCTTTTAGTTAACGATACGAATCTTACTAAATAACACATAGCTGGGGGTAGAAGAGGTGGACGTATACCTTTCTCAATGGTTTTTGCGCGTAAGTAAATACAACAAACCCGACGGGAATTGGAACTCGGCTCTCCGATTTCAAATTCTGAACCGCCATACATTGTACCACCTGCACATTCAGGCTTACAGTACTTGGTATTCCTAAGCGGTCACCCATCCATGTGCTGCCCAGGCTCGACGCTGCTTAACTTCGGTGATCGTACGGAAACTCATGTTTCAGAGTGATGTGACTTAAGCCGAATTACACTAGAGGAAGAAAGAAAAAAAAAAAAAAAACAATTTAAAAAGTTTTTCTTTTTTTTTTTTTAACTACAATGTATATATAAAATTTTGAAACTTTTTTCCTTTAGTCCGTCCATCCTTCACACCCTCTAAAATAGACATATATTGACTGATTGAAACCAAAGTTTGAGGAGAAGTGCAAACACATAAGGAGTTAAAAAGTACAATTGGTTTTATTATTTATGCGTAGCTTAGTACAGTAAATTTTCAGTAATTTTTTGGAAAATTTAAAGTTTTATTAACATATAAATTATTTCCACTATTTAAAAAACAATTTAATAAAAATGTAATATTGTTTTTTTTTCATATCTTTTCTTTAAGTCTTTATGTATACAAAAATCCAGTTTCAATTTCACCCGACGTTTGTGAAAACTACAATCAAATCCCAAGGTCAAAACATTTCAAAATGTTGGAATTTGACTCCAGAAAGAAATATTTACGCATCGCCAGTTGTATGTTGCATGCTCAAGTGTAAGATAACCTAAGAATTTATTTTTCGATGTTGAAAAGGAAAAAAATAAATTTTCTTAAAAAATATTGTTTACCTTGAAGTTCTATAAAATTAAACTAAAGAAATTATTAAAACCCCGAAGTTGGGTTTTGCCAAAGCTTTTTTCCAAGCAAATCAGTCTATTCAAATTTCATCGATTGATTTGCGAAATTAAACGAAACGTATAGTTTGTAAATCTCGAAAAAAATGTTAGTGATAACTTCAACAATATTAAATATTGTGAGGATTTCAAAAGGCGTCAGCGTCTTTGAAAAAATATTCTAGTAAAAGAAAAATAAGAAAGATAATTTTTAACTGAATTATTATATTAAAATGTTGCACATAATTTTCCATTTCAGCTGGTCGATGATTCTTTGAAAAAACTATAAATTAATCTTTTCGGATGCCGTAAATTTTGAACTAAAAAACGGTAAGAAATTAACGATCTACAATAAGTAATTTTCGATTCTTTTTATTACAATAAAATAAAAGAAGCCATTTTTATTTTTTGATTGCATTTAAAATAGCACCATTTCTTCTCTTCAGCTGGTCAATAATAGTACGATAAAAAAAGACTGTAACAGCAAATTTTAATTGTCTTTATTTCAGTAAGAACTTATACAGTTAAAAGAAAATAATTAAAAAGTAATTTTAGCTGTCTCTATTTAAATAAACTACAGCACAAAAATAATCGCTAAAAAATCGAATTTTGAAGGGTTTTTTTTTTTATTTCAATAAGAACTATCACATTTTAAAAACCAGCTATAAAAACTATATTTTTGTTACCTTTATTTAAATAAGAACTAGCATTATTTAAAAACAAAGTTGAGTTGTCATTAATGTAATATTGATTCGTTTTGTATGGCTTATCAAGCAATTGTAGGTTATTTAAATCAGAAACAAATTTCAGTTTTTACGTGGTTGCTTATCGCACTTGATACCTCCAAGCTCATATCTAAGCACTGACCGAGCTCAGCGCTGCTTTCCTCCGAACTTGAACGTTAACCGAAGTCTCCAGTGTGTAGACTTTATTTTTTTTTTAAAGAACACAAAAAAAAACATTGAAAAGTAATTTTTAGTTGCCTTATTTCAATATGAACTAATATTATTTAATAAAAAAAAAACAAAAAAATCAATTGTCTTTATTTCAATATTGATTTGTTTTGTGTAACTTATCAAGCCCTTGTGGGCTATTTAAAGCTAAATATATTTCGATTTGGAGATGATTGCTTATGACACCTGGTCTTCCCACCCATCTAAGCACTGACCGAGTTCAGCGTTGCTGACCCCCGGTGAAAAAACGTGATATGTAGACTTTGATTTAAAAAAAAAAAAATCTCGCAAAATAATTTTAAAAAATGCATAATTTTTGGTTGATTTTATTTCATTAAAAGCAAATTCATTTTAATATTTTATATAACTTCAGTATCTGTTTATATATCGGGGATGAGGTATTGTAACAATTTATATTACTTACATTGTTGGGTCTGTTGTCCTTATATTTATTGCCATATTCACGACGTTTCGGCAGTTGTACGCTCCGGCCTTCTTCATGATCTAGCTATATTTCTGAGAGAAGGTATTGTAACTATTTATATTATTTATATTGTTGGGTTTGTTGTCCTTATCTTTGCTGCCATATTCACGATTTTTCGGCAGTTATACGCTCCGGCCTTCTTCATGATCTTGCTATATTTCTAAGAGGGGGTATTGTAACTATTTATATTATTTACATTGTTCGGACTGTTCTCTCCATCTTTATTGACATGTTCACGGCGTTTCGGCCGTTGTTCAGTTGATTGGAATATCGAACTGAACCCTTTATTTCGTCCACCGGGGTAGATTGCTCAAGTTCCACGTGACATGCCTCTTCCGGATGTCTCAGTTATCTCCCTTCAACTCAAATATCCATTTTCGGATGAGGAAAACAGCCCGAACGATGTAAATATTTATATTAATTATTTTTGTGTCTTAAAACATAAAAAATTCGTGAATTTTATTTAACCATCAAAAGTAATTTTCACTGCGACACTATTTAGGTCAAACGGCCACATCACGTTGAAATACAGGTTCCCATACGATCATAGAAACGATAACAAAAAATTAACAGATTTAATTCTAGAAAGAACTGATGTCAAAAATTTTAATATAATACATTATTAGGGGCTTTCGGAAAACAGTTACTTCCCAGATCAGAATCGTGAATTTGAAGGTTTGGAAATTGCATCTATAATTAATTTATATATGCTATACGACAGCATATGGCTTACGGCCAGATCACGTTAAAACACCGGTACCCGTACGATCACTGGTGTTAAGCAACTTCGATCCTGGTCAGATGGGTGACCGCTTAGGGATACCCCGGGTATTGTAAGTTTGGATGTGATGTGATGGATAACAGTTCTGGATTGTTAATCGAAGAGTCGAGTTCCAAGATATATTCACTTACGCGCGAATAACCCCTGGGAAAGGCAACAATCCATCACTTCTTACCCCCCCCCAAGCTATGGGTTTATTAGTGGTTTCACTAAAATCCTTCTTAGCTCCAGAAATAAAATAAAATTGCGCACAAAGTATTTGGATTTCGGTATTAAATAACCCATAGGATTGATATGCTGCTAATCAACCAAAGTATTTAGACCAGTGGTTCTGAAACGGGGTTCATGTGCACCATGGTGGTTCATGGAACATTAGTGGGGGTCCACACAAAAATAGCATATTGGGGGTTCACGGTAATATTTTAGTGATCCAAAGAGAAACTTCACTTCGGAATGGTTCCAATTACAACTGAGAATTGAAATTTCTACAGTAATAGCGGAGATATTAAAATACTAAAAATAGAAAAACTGTAAAACTAGCAGAAAACGAGATCTAGGGTCCCTTTTTCTATACAGGATGTTTTGATTGTAAAAGTTGAATAAAAACTGAGAAGGATATATAGAAAGAAAAAATCACACACACACACACACACACACACACACACACACACACACACACACATATATATATATATATATATATATATATATATATATATATATATATATATATATATATATAATAAAAAGAGGCTTAAACACTAATATTCCATGGTCATAATTTATTCCATTGGAATCGTAAATACGATCCAATTCATCAAACCTAGAAATTCAAAAAAAGGGTTTTCTTTTTTGAATTTGTAGAACTGATTAATTGGATCGTATTTACGATTCTAATGTAATAAATTATGCCATGGAGTACTCGTGTTTAAGCCTTTTTATTATATCCTTACTCTGTCCTGGACATTGAGTTCTACCTGGATTCTATCCTCTTGGAATTTTTTTATCAAAAAAATATACATATATGTGTATGCACTTATGTATATATACTTATGTATGTGTATATTTACCACTAATATTATCTATCTATCTATCTATCTATCTATATATATATATATATATATATATATATATATATATGAAGGAAGGATTATGTACATAAAGGAAAAATAATATAACGATTTTAATTTATTATATACATTAATTTAATATATAAATTAATTTAATATATTAATAATAAACAATAATATTATTTTAAATATTAATAAAATAAAATATTGATATAAATGAATTAATATATTAATAAAATCGACATTATGAAAAGGGTCAATCTTCAAATATCATGGATATTCGATGAAGCCGAATATAAAAAAAAAAACCTCACAGAGCAGCATCAACCACAGGGATCTCATTGAATAAATCTCCACTTTTATACATTCATTAATTATTCACACATTTTAAAATAATTTATATTATGAGTTATTTTACTAGTGTATATAAATGTTCCATAGAAATTTAAATATAAGTTTATTTTCATTAAATTTGTTTTAATTCAAAATAAAGCATATACATTTACTATATCTATAAAAAAAAATTCTAAATTTATCTATTAGTAAAAAATAAAATAAGTTTTTTTTTTTTTTCAAAGAATGTTTATGGCGGTCCACAAAAGAAAAAAAAAGAGTAAAAGTGGTCCATTGGTGAAAAAAAAAAAATGGAGAACTATTGGATAAGACGATAAGGAGTTATCAGTATTTTGATTATTTACATGCGGGCAATTTTCCCTCGTTGTACCCTGTGACCTTCATCAGTTTTTTTTTTTTTTTTTTTTTTTCTAATCGATTCACGAAGAGTCTGTTCAGCAACTCATTCTGCTGGGAAAACCTGTCCCTAATGACTGGAGAATTTTCATATCGTGGAATTAAAGCCCAGGAAAATTTAAAAAAAAAAAAAAAAAGAAGAAAAATGAAAAGATGGCGTAGTATTGAAATGCTGTAGTATGACATAGCATTTATTTACACTATTTAAATTGTTCGGACAGATGTCCTCATCTTTATTGTCATACACACGACGTTTCGGCAGTTGAAGACCTCGGCCTTCTTCAGGTGATATACGCTGGAATTTCGAACCG